CCCTGTCAAACACCAATGCTGATCTCAAAGTACCACCCAGGGTCACCAGGAACATCTGTGATAAACATCAGAAAACTCCTTGTACTATCCATGACTTGCCCACCCATATACAAGATGGCACTAGAGACCATGGAAAGCTTTTCCATGTCTTTCAGATCCCTCATGCTGCTGTCCACAGTGTCTGACTTGAAAAGTGTTCCAGATTCACTGCTGTGTAATTCAAGTATTCTTGCTAGAAAACAGCAGGCTTGGTCAGCAGACAGTTTTCAAGGGAGCTGGCTATTCAAAACCACATCCCAAATAGCTGGATATACATATTAGTCTTAGCTGACCTTTGTTGAAACTTTCTGTCCCTCTCTTTGTTTCTGTTGTCTTCATCTCTAAGTAATCAGCTGTTTTGTTTACTGGGTGTTGGTGGTGGGTTCTGTATTTCCACTACATTAGCTCTGCTCAGGGGAAAGTAATAGCTCTGGATTGAAGCATAAGCCATTTGTTTTTTCTGTAATGAGAAACGCTTTGCTGCCTGCTTTCCCGCTGATGAGTTATGCTTTATTTGCCTTGAGAAGAACTGTACTTAAAAGCAATTTTCTGAAGAGGAAATGAGGCAGAGAGTGCAAAAAGAGGGGAAGAAAAGACTGTCCCAATTAAAGCTCCCTGATCTGCATTTTCACACATTACTTGACTGATTAATCCTGGTGTTTATTGCTGGAAATCTACCAGGCTAAAGGTTAATTTCTTGCTAATTACTTTGAAGCTGCCCAGTTACATCTCAAATTTGCTACAATGGCAATTCTAAAATAGTTGTGTGCCTTCCTTCCTTAAATGTATTATAGGATTTTATCAATGCAAACACAAGTCTGATAAACCCTTTTAGCAGGACTGAATTACAAACATCAAGTGTTTTTTTTAAGAGTTTTTTGCATTACTTCGGTGCCTTCAGTAGTTTAAATTTGTGATTATCACTTGTCTATTTATTATGCTGTCATTGAAATTACTGAGGTATGGATGCACACCCTGGGGGGGTATTATTTTGTGTATTTATATATAGGCTGCTCCCCTTTATTTGAACACCAATGCTCTTTTCAGAAGAGGGACTTCAAACACCCTGGGTTTAAAATTGCTCTACAGAGCCAGTGAACACCTTTTTCTTTAAAGAAATTCTTGCCCTGGTATTTTATCCCTTGGCCTATGTCTCTTAGGATAAATTATGTATTTCCTTCTCAAGGATCAGTTCTTGCCTTAATTTTCTCCTGAATCACGCTAAGCAATCCCTTCCATTTCTTTACATGAGCGGTGGAAGCTTTTGGTGCTTTTTTTCTTTCTTTTGTTTAAAAGCTCTCTCGACCTTAATGTTCTCATTTGTTTGCCATTTATGAGTTCCATTTTGTGGAGATTCTCTGGATTTTCTCCACTTTTAAGGTTGTCATACAGTAATGCCTTGAAATGTTCATGTTGTAATGTAAATTACCAATTCTCCTAGAGAAGCCTGATTTCCTGGCACCTATTAAACACACCTCAGGAAAAAAGATTGCCTATCTTGGCCATACTTAAAAACTTGATACTTTCTGGGTCAGTTACCAATCACCAGTCACTCCTGTCCACGAGTGCAGTGGGGTAGAGGGAGATCCAGGAGTACTGTCCAAAAAAGAAAGGACTACCCAGGCCTTTGAGAAGGCTTTGACAAGACTAAACTCATGCAAGCTCTTTTTATAAAGTGGACTACTTTTCATTAGTTTTTATTTGCTTCACTGAAAATATCTCCTGAGGAAGATGCAAAGCCTTTGGCATTTTGCACTGCTCAGTGGTTCCTTTATTTTTCAGCTGTGCTGTTCCATAGACGTGCAATTTGCCCTTTCTTTGAGGTTTTTGTATCTTTGTGGCATGGAAAAAATTCTGATTGAAGGATTGGTAGGCAGAAACCTCTCTGAATTATTACATCCTTTAAGGCAAGAGCGGGGAACATCAAGAACTGCGGATGTCCTTTGGAAAGGGTGGTCAGAGCTTAGGAGGGCAGGAATAGGGAAAGTGTCCACAACTTTAGCCACATTCAACTAGAATGTTGGGAGAAATTCCAGATGTTCTGTTTTCACATTTTTTACAATGTACACTGAAAACACAGAGATTTGATTAATATTATAAATGGGAATTGCCTGATTATAAAATGAGAAATAAGAAATTCTCCTCTCTGTTGAGGGGGAACGTAGCCCATGCTGAACTTACATCTGTTTTGAGGTTAAAAATGGGAATAGCAGCATTAGGATGCTCAAAAAGACACTGAAATCAGGGTAATGTTATTGGTGATTTCACTTAGTTTCATTAATGATGGACAACTTGAAGTCAAAGGCCTTTCCTTTCTCTACACTGATTCTGTAGCAGTTCCTGTATCCCTTCAGAAGTGCTGCTGACCTGGCCAGTCTTTAAATGTAATTTCAGCAGTACATCAGGCCAGTCCAGTGACTGTGTTTTATATTGGCAGATGGCTTCTAAAAAGAAAAGACAGAACAATCAGGCCTCACACAGTTACTGGGGATTTATTATGTATGCTCTTGGGGAGTTCTTCAGGATTTAGCGATGCAAGTACAATTTACCTTCAGACTAAGCATCATCTTTATATTAAGTACTCCTTGAACTGCAGGAAGCAGTATAAAATAAGCTGCATTTATTTTGCCTTTACCTCTTCCCTCATTTCCCTGTAAAGCACTGACAGCTCTGAATGAACCCTTCAGCTTCCATAAAAGAAGCAGCAGACTTCAATTAAACAGCTGCTCATGTTATCTGATTTAATGGTGACAATGTACTGAATGTTCCCGTGGTGCAGAAGGTTTCCAAAGCAGTGTGCTGACTTGTGTGCTTGCATTTGGAAATTGCTTCATCCTTCAGAAGAACGCAGTGATCATCAGAGGGGATGAAAAGCTGCAGCAGCTGAGTGGCACATGGTAGCAGCAGGCACAGAAGCCAAAGGGGATATTATCTGCAGTGGGAATATCAGGAGGAGATGTTGGAAGAATTTAGTCCAAGGCTGGTACTGCAGAAATACTACATTTACTTTTTATGCTGTGATGGAAATGGACAAGGGGCTAATTGATTCTTTCTCTGCCTTTCCATTATTTATGCCAAACAAGTAGAAAATAAGTCCCATTTTGTGGCATTTTGCACTCTCTTTGCAACAGAACAAATGCAAATGAATATTTCTGAGAGTCCCACAAGATAGCTTTGGTCTCGCGTGTGTTCTCTGAGAAACCTTTCTATTTGTGTCCCATTACAGTTTGCTGTCATCTCTCAGGAGATGATGCATGTTTGGAGAGCCAGTGTAGCATCTTGTAGGAGACAAGCTTTTTGCAGACATTAGGGCTGTCAGTGCCTGGGAATTTAGTTCCTACAGTCCAGCCAGCTCTCACCAACACCTTTTCCCATTAATAACTCTCTCTAAAGATCTATTTTCTGGTCTAGCCACACTGATGAAAGATGTGTGCACTCAGGTGCAGCTGAGAACAGTGAAATGACTTTGTCTTGTCCTAACTTGTGCTGAAGTTTCATGTTTATGAAGCATATGCAGCTGTGTGGCAATTTGAAATAAGTGTAGAGTGTGGTGCATAATGGAGAAGGCTAATGATTCTTTTATCACCTCTTTATCCCTAAGAACCTCAAGGTTTATCTAGATTTACTTGTCGATAAGTGGAAAGATGATAATCCCGCAGTCAGATCAAAGCAGTACTGCTATTAGGATAAATTTAATCTTTCGTGTGTCTCTTAGTGTGTTTAATTTATGTCACACAATTTCTGCTTGTACATAAGCATTGGGAACATCAAAGGCAGAAGAAACTCTAAGAAAACAAGAGACCATGGTAGTAAAGATGGTCTTTACTGAGTTTCCAAACTCAGTGTTACAGGTGTATAGGCTACAGAAGAGGGGAAACACAGAGCTACTGAATAGTCTGGTGGTCCTTCCTCCTTCCCCAAGGTTCAGCTGTTCCCTTCCTTTCCTGGCACTGCTTGTCTAGACAGCTCTTAAAGGTGTCCAAAGGTGGTGTGATTCATCCTTTGTATCCCTCAGTAATCTCTCTCAGTATTAGGTGTTCCTAACAGTAGACTTCTTACCTTGGAGGTGTGATTATCCTTTGGAATCTAGATAATACCTCCTCAGATCCCACAGCCATTCTACTCTATTGATTCTTTCTACTTTTCACGATGTCACTTTGCTCCACACCCCTCCCCAAAAAAAAGAAAAGGGAACGATCTTGTTGTACTTAACAGTTTCTATTAATTCAGTTGAAATAGCTCAAATATAATAATGCAGAAATGAGTCTTGGAGAGGGCTATGGATCCTACTTGTAGGAAGAAAAGGGCTGGAGGATGGCTTGAGAGGCCAGTCAGCTCTACACACATGTTCAGTTATGCAAAACTGCTGGTGGCACTCAGCAGCTTCAGCAGTGGGGTTTATTGGGATGTGCCCCATCCTTCAGTCCCAAAAGCGGGTTCCCACTGGACACCTCTGACATGAACAAAAAGTGACAGTAGACAAGGAGCAGCAAAGGAAGAGGAGGAGAAAGAGGAGGAACAACACTACCCAGTTCCTGTCCTTTCTGCAAGTCCTTTGTAGAGCCATTTGTCCTGGGTAAAGCTGCACAGGCTTTCCTGCTCCATACTCTGCCCTCTTGCTCTTTAGCTCCTGTTTTGGTCCTACAGGCAGCCCTTGAGGTCAAGTAGCAAGTGGTTGCAGATATGGACACAGGAATTTTGGTGACCGTCTGAGGAAATGAGTAGTGGCAGAGAAGATTTATTAATCTCTTCAGAGCAACGCTTTAGGACTTACATTTTTGTTCCGTTTCCCTTGGGTGGGAACAAGTGAATGGACTATTTTATCATCTCACCTGTGTCATTCCCCAGACAGGAATTCTTTTGTGCCAGTTGCATTGATTGATGTAATCAGACTGGCTACTAATCAAAGCGATCTCAGCAGCCTAATTCGGTACCTGATCTCTCTCTGTTTGTGCTTCAAGGTCTTTGACAGGGTCCGAGAAGATTGCCCTAATTTCCACGAGAAGATTAAACCTATTAATGCTGAACTCACTCAGCCCAAGCTGGCCATCAGTGCTGAAGACGAGGAGGAGCTTCTGACCCGGGTCAATGTTGTCTTCCACTGTGCAGCCACAGTTCGCTTTGACGAGCCCCTCAAGTACGTCCTGCTTTTCTGTGTTTGCTGAGCGGGATCGGGGTGCACATGGCACTGCCCGGAGCATCCCTTGCATGGCTGCACTGCTGATTCCCCCGTCCATGTTCGTGCTCCCCGTGGTTCTGTGCTGAACATGGAAGGGGTGTGCTCTGAAAATGCCATGTGTGTGTGTGTGTGTGTGTGTGTGTGTGTGTGTGTGTGTGTGTCAAAAGGCAGTTGTCTTGGCACAGTCCCACTGTAACAGAAGGAAGAAGTGCAGGAGGTTTAGGTCATCAGGGAGATGTTTTGGCCGAGCTGCAGACAGAGAAACTGTGTTCAGTCTGTAAAGTTGGTGTTGGTAATGGCCTTTCTTTGTCACTGAGTAGCTGGAGAGGGAAATGAGCTGTGGTTTAAGAAAACAGCCCATCACAACCTTTAAAATACCCAGCTCTCACTGTAATTAACTGTTTACAATAAGTGCTTGGTTTCTGAAGGAGTTCCCTTGGGGGTGCCTGTCCAGGCAGGCTTTTCCATTAAGAAAAAACAGCAGAAATAAGCCACTGAAACAAGATTAGATGTGTAAATGCTTCTGTGTAGATTATCCATTTCAACAAACCGAGTTGGATGATCTGCATTGCCAGATCGTCATAGTCTTCTGAAAAAACACTAAAGCTATCATAGTTGAAAACACAATTTGTAATATCAATATTTATTTGCTCATAGGCTAAAGAGATATCCACTATGTCCACCATAATTATTTGCTTTTTAGAACAACTAATTAGAGAAACACAAGAAAGAAAGCAGCTCTTGATGAGATCTTAAGCCAATATGTAAGTAGCCACAAATGTTCTTAAATCAATGCACAAATGGACCCACTTTAAAAATAAGTCTCAGTGGCATGAAACATCAAAGGGAAACCACATTTTTAATATGTAGGATAGCTAGAAAGAAGCTAAAAGTTTAAAAGGTCATCAGCTTACAGGCAGTGGAGAAACTAAAGACTGATTGTATGTCATCTGTCAAAATCTCTCTAACAGAACAAGGACAATTATGATCAGAAGGCAAAATATGAGAAGTTCTTCAAATCAAATTATTCCTGACAGAGTAATAAAATATATCAGATGGGTAAAAGTTTTAGCAAGTTAAATGTGAAAGCACAATATTGCTGCTTAGTTAAGAATTTTGAGCAGCAACTTGATGATGACAGAAATAAAATTATTTTTTCAACATGGCAGAAGCTCCGAGATTACAACAGAATATGTGTAGCCAATAAATAAGGAGGGGGGAAAAGCATTGCTGTGAAGATACTGGAGAAGCAGCAGTGGAGACACTAAATGAAGTATTGGCATCAACATGCAGTACATTCAGGGAATTCTCCAGATGGAACTCTTGAGGGCAGAAATTGCAAAATTTGTGTTATATTGAAATATTAATAGATGCTGGTTTAATAGAAATAGGAAAAAAAATAAAGAATTACAAAACAAATAACAAACCGCCAGTATTAGATGATAATCCCTTTGAAGGCTATAGAACTCTGAGCAACTCAGCAGAAATCCATGCTAGGCCCATATAATGACCACAGTTCTGTTCATCACTTTTCAGAAGGGATGCAGTCAAACAGCAATGTGCATGAAAAAGTAAGTTTTATCTGAAGGCTAATCTGAAGGGTAGCTCAGGTAGAAGTATTCATCCTGCTAGAAGGGCAGGAGAAAATAGAAATCTAGAGAAAATTCTTCACTTTAATAGCAGCATACAAAAAGAAGAGTATCGCTAGCTTTAGATACAGTGATCCAAATACTGATTGTACTTTTCAGCTGATGTTTTCATTCCTTTGGACTATTTACATTTTCTCTTCAGTGTAATTAAGTTTTTTTAGTGTACACTGTGCTTGATGGCATAATTCCTAACATTGTACATGTCTTTGAAAGCTTCTACTGCTGGGCTGAGCAGATTGCATATTCCTAAGTCTTCTCCCTTCTGTGAAGGAAGGTGTCCCTATTCCAGTACAAAGCATGCAACAGAGTCTGCTGATTGAGATGTGTTGTAGATTGTCTCTAGGACAATTTCTAGCAATGCTGAGTGCTTGAAAGTCAGCCTTGCTAATCAGGACATTCTTTCTCTTATGCTTATCACTTCTCATCTCTATTCCTTGGGAATTTAAGCTGTTATCTCTAATGGCATCTTCTTTGATTATGAGTAGATTCAAACCAAATGAAAGTAGCTTTAGATTAGATATTAGGAGGAAATTCCCTATTGTAAGGGTCCTGAGGCTCTGGCACAGGTTTCCCAGAGCAGCTGTGACTGCCCCATCCCTGGCAGTGTTCAAGGCCAGGTTGGATGGGGCTCTGAGCAACATGGGGTAGTGGAAGGTATCCCTGCCCATGGCAAGGGAGTGGGACTGGATGGTCTTTAAGGTCCCTTCCAGGCCAGGCCATTCTATGATGCTATGAATCTGTTTTTCTGGGCCCAGTGACCCGTTCCTGCTTTCCTGTGTTGTTCTGGTTTAGCAGTGGTCCCTCCAGAGAACACTGAATGTGTACCATAGGAACCACAGTGCCTCAGGGCTTAGAAATACATGTTCCAGGGAAGGGTGACCAACATGTCACATTTAGAGATGTTTGTGAAGCCTTACGTGTGACCCTTCAAATAGAGTAAAAATATTTGAGAGACATTCAGTGTCCAGAACTGCAAATCCAACAGCATTGCTTTCAAAGCTGGTTTCACACTTGCATTTCAGTGACACTTTCTGCTGCACCTGCTCTCCCTGACTTCCCTTTCTGTGATGAGGTGTGGATAAAGCTCAGCCTTTATACGTTCTTCCCACTGAAAGGCCTTTTGCTTATTCCCCTTGCGTTCCTTAGGCATGCCCTGCAGCTGAACGTGATGGGCACGCAGCGGCTCCTCGAGCTGGCCCGGCAGATGCGGAACCTCGAGGCCTTCATCCACATCTCCACTGCCTATGCAAACTGCGTCCGGAAATGCATCGAGGAGATCATCTACCCACCCCCAGCCGAGCCCCAGAAGCTCTTTGATTTAGTAGAGTAAGTAGGAACCACATCGCCCCTTCCAGTGCTGGCTTCCCTTCGTCCTGCGGCAGACCTGGGAGCTGTTCACAGAATCGGGTGGGATTTCTGTCAGAGGTGCTGTTACTGCTGTTTCTTCGTGTTTTTTAAAGACTCTGATTTCATGAGAGTCTAGTATTAATTTCTGTAGGAGTGTATTTTCTGCCAGGAATGGAGTTGCTGCTTTCTGTAACACTCAGCTCTGCTGCTGCCTTAGTAAGAACTGATTTTTTCCCCATACACCTTTTTTCTTTTATCTTTTCTGCTTCCCAACATTGTTTCCACTTCTCTCAGAAATCCTGTGGTATTTAACTGGAGTTATATGGGGATGAGTAAGAAACAGGCTTTTTTAGATAGTTCGATGTGAATCATTTAGGTTTACAAAAGACCTCTAAGATCAACAAGTCCAAGCTTTGATTGATCACCACCTTGTCAAATAAACCAGAGCACAGAGTGCCACATACTGCTGGGTTTTGAACACTTACAGAATTGGTGACTCCACCACTCCTTGGGCAGCCCCTTCCAATGGCTGGTCATCTTTTTAGTAAAGAAAATCTTCCTGATTTCCTCCTAAACCTCTCCTGGCACAGCACAAGGCAATGTCCTCTCAACCCGGACAGGAATACAGGTCTTTGATGAAACACCAAAAAAAGCTTGGCTAACTGAATTTACCAAAATAAAGAATAATTAGAAGGAATAACAAAATCAGCTGATAAAAGTCCTAGAAGACATTATGCTTAAAAGAATTTTCCCACAACTGTTAATGTGTTTTCATTAATTTTCTAGTGGGTGATACATGCAACTGATCTGTGATCTGTTGACCAAAGAACTGGTATAAAATCTTTATTCTTCTTGATTTAGATGAATAAAGTGTAGGTAGTGGAAGATGAAATTAATTCATGCCCACTAAGAGGACCACTGGGTTGTTTTTTTTAATGAAATAAGTTTGTCTTAAGAAATAATTTAACTGTCTAAGCACTACTCCAGAAAAGTTAGTACAAACTACTTTTTCTATTTGAATTTCTCTAGTAGCCCATATTCTTGGATATGTTTACTTCTAGCTAGTAGTCATCAATCATTTCTCTTTTATTCAGTGAGTGGAACATAATAAAAAACTTGAGAAATGTCTTAGTGCATTAGAGCAATGGGCTCCCTGGTCCAGTATCTTGCCCTCAAGAATGTCACTGAGAGATGTTATTTAGGGTAATAACAGCCTGGATACTCCTTTCTGTTCCCCTCATAGAAACCTGAAGAGTCTCAGCCTTTTTACTGTCTCATGGATCATCTTAGTGCTGATGTTAGTTGTCCTTCCTCTGTACTTGTTCTTTAACTCTACTCCCTCCCTGAGGTATGGGGGTCAGACAGAACTTCATGCAGTGTTCCAGTTGCGGTCACTCAAAAGTTTTATTTAAATAGCTTCGAAATTATACCACTGGTCTCATTCTCTGTACCTGATGATGGCCAGCATTTCATTGATTGGGGTTTTTTGTGTCTGCTGCTACTCACTGACATGGATGTTTCAGAGCTGTCCGCTATAATTCAAAAACTTTTCCTGAGCTACAGTTGCCAGTTCTAAGCTCAGCAACCTCTAACACCAGTTCTGACAGACTACTTTTCCCTAAAAGTGAAGCTGCTCTGTCATCTTTTTGCCCACTGACTCAGTTTTATGTCCTTTGGTGTTCATCACTGACTCCATTTCACTGTCCCAAAAGGCTTACCATTACTTGCAACTCTGAAAATGATTAGTGTTGATGGCTCAGATTTAAAAAAAGACTGCAGTACATGTCTGATTGCCAGTCAGAAATGTGGAGAAGGGCTTGGCTACCTCAGAGGTTGTTACTTCAGCTGCTTTGTATAAAACACTAAAAATTTATGTATCATAGCTTGAAAATGCAGCAGAGAGGATGATGTTTGGGATGCACCTTTAATATTTGCCATGTAAGTGAAAGAAATAGTGTGTGGGTATCAGGGTACAGAAGGTTTCAGAGAGAGGGGAGTGACAGGTATCAGAATTTTACCTTCGGAAGGGAAGGAGGGGAAGCAGACAAGGGAATATAAACTGGCTTCAAAAATGGGGAGAAATAGAGATTATGTTTTGCTTCAGCGAGCTGTGGATGATTCCCTTCACAGCCAACCCTTGTCTTAAGGTGCTGCTCTTGCAAGTGTTTTCAGAGGGATAATTGAACAACTGGATGCTATAACAGATCCATTTAACAGTGCTTTTGGCCATGCACTTGATATATGCTTATGATTACTTATTCACTTGAAATCTCAAGGAGGATTCCCAGCTGCTTCTTTTTCTGCTCTTATCCTCCTGTTACATCTTGCTGTTTCAGTATTCTGATATTTAACCTGCAAGTAAACCCTGAGGTTTAAGCTGTGTAAACCAAAAGTCACACTTCTGAGTGCTGCCAGGCCAATAGGGTAAACATATAATCTGCTGCATCAAGCATGGTTTGCCTTAATCTAAAGCTGAAGGAAATCAGCTTTGAAGAGTGTGCTGAGGTAAGGAACACAGCACACAGCAAAGTCTTGGCTGAAGCTGTGGGTTGGTTATTGCAGAAAATACAGATCCATCATTGTTTACAAGAAAGATTAATGCAAAGGCATTAACACAGAAAGTTTTGTTTTCCTATGGCAGAGTAATTTGGTGCATACAGTGGAGAAGTTATTAATTGTTTAATTTGCATTGTTCACTTGGAAGGGCAGATGCAGCACTGAGCAGAAGCAGCAGCTTTTGTGAGCTAGCATTCCAGAATCTTCCAAGTAGGTCACAGAGCAGTTCTTGCTGAAGTGTCATCTCCGCCTCCCTGATGGGAACGTTGGTCAATCAAATCACCCGGCAGGCTGGTGCCCTTGGGACAGGTCCTCAGGTAATGCAGAGACCTCTCTGGAAGGATGAAGGCAAGGGGAAATTACCTCTATTACCTCTCCTTGTACTTCTACAGCTGTCTTTGCTTTGTGAGAATGCAAACCTGCAACCCCCTGTCATGAAAACTTTAAAAAAAATTAAAAACAAAAAAAGAGAAGGGGAAGAAGACTTACACACAGCTTAACCTGAGTTTCCAAATTAACTTAGTCTTCCTCCAGGCTCTGCAGAAATAGCTATCTCCTCTTGGTAGGCTGGTAATTAGCTACTCCACAGATTCAAACAATAGCAGTTTACTGAGACCTTGAGGTTCAATGGCTGTCTAAGTGGCTTTACAAATTATGTCAATAATATGTGCTGCTTGTAACCTCTGTGTAGTTAATATTTTATGCTTAAATGCTGCCTACTGCCTTGTTTCTACTGCATGGGACCAGGCTTGAAAAGGAAGGTGTTTGTGCCTCCATAGGATTTTTTTATTTAAAGAAAAAATTCCTATATACTACAAATTGTCAGATTTTTAATGCATTCCAAAACTGAGAGATTTATTGCATCCAGCCCTCCCCTGTGAATCAGTGCTTTCTCATACAACAACTTCCCATCTGTGCCCAATGAGAGTCATCTGAAAAGTGCTGTGCCACCTGAGCCACCATGTCTTTGAAAGGTTGACAGGATCAAGCAATTTTCAGGTGTGACAGTTGGCATCGTATTTCTCTCCCCTTGACCTCTGCCTTTTTCTGAAATTCAAGAGAAGGAGGGGTGAAGTGAGGATCTGCAGGAAGCAGTATCCTTGCAGTGCCCCTGGGAAGAGTCCACGCCTTCAGCCTGAACTGTAAGTCCGTTGACTTAATTACAAATTGGATTATAGGAGCTAATCTTTGATTCTGTGGTGTAACGCCAGGGTGCTGGGAGCCTGTCAGAGACTGGCAGCGAGGGCTTTGGAAGCACAGCCAGTTCTTGTCCTTTACACCCAGATGCTGGCAGGACCTGTGAGGTCCTGGTGATGTGCCAGGGAGGAGCCTTTGGATGTTAGGCCCTTCCTGCAGCTCCATCATGGTAAGGGTTGCTTTTTAAAAGCTATCTGCATAACTGCTTCTGATGGATTAGGTACTTGAATATCTTCAAACAATAAAAAACAACTTGGCAGAGTCCTTTTGGGGTTTTTGGTGGTTTGGTTTTGTTTGTTTTTTTTTAAGCACCAGTTGTTTCCTGTGTGAACAAACCTGTGGTAAGCCTGCTAGAAGGAACATCTTAACACTGCAAATTATGGAAATCCACTGTTGGAATAATATCCCTGTAGGATGTTTTTCCAGCTTTTGAGACCTTTGTGTTGTTACGTGACTTGATAATTCAAGGTTACCTGGAATATCCTGAAACATCTTTGGGAGTATACAGCAACTTGTTGGCTGAGGATGAGAACTGCCTAGTGGGATTCCTGGCCGGGAGCGCTCCATCAGGCTGTAGACCATGGCAATATTTATGTTACAGATTGCAGTGAAGCATTACCCATGCAAGAGATTGCCCTGAAGTGAGTTTGTAGAGGCACCTGAATTGCAGCGGGGCATTGTAACATGAAGCTTACCAGGGTTTATTTTGCACCTTTAAGACAAAAGTAACTTTCTCCCACAAAGCAGTTTTAAATCCAAACTTTAAATATCTTTGACTGGCTTATCCTCTGTTTCAGGTGAGGATTCCCATGTCACTGGTCTGTTTTACCTGAATCTTTTTCTCTCCCTGCATGGTGGATGATGATGATGTTCTCCTTGTTCCCTGTAGGTGGTTGGATGAATCCATCATTCAAGACATCACACCCAAGCTGCTTGGGGAGTGGCCCAACACTTACACCTACACCAAAGCCTTGTCAGAGTACCTGATTCAGCAAGAGAAAGGAAACTTGAACATTGCTATCATCAGGCCATCCATCGTGGGAGCCAGCTGGCATGAGCCTTTCCCAGTAAGCATGAATACACAATTCCCTACCGGGAGCCTTTGGATGCAGCTGGAGCTGTGGTACTGTCAGGAATCTGTCCCTCCTTGTAGCAGTGTCTTGAGAAACAGGTGTCCACAGTTCACAGGGAGATGTGTGGAAGAGGTGGAGATCCCGTGCTGGAGTAGAACAGCAAGACGCCTTCAGCACCTTAGAACTCCTGTGAAAAGACCACATTTAAGCAATAGTAACAAGAGCTGGGATAGCTATGGTGCAGAGTGCTAGGCTTGCAATTGATTGTCCATTCAGGCATACCAGGGGAGTTTCTGTGCTCAAAACATGGGATCTGAGGGTCAGTCATACTCCTGGTGCATTGTGGTTGAGGTACAAATGCCAGGCACTCAGTAATTAAATGCAACTATACCTTTGGAATGAGATAATTCATTAAGCTAAATATACTGATAGGAATAACGTGTCCTAACATTGCAGCCAAATTGGAAAGGCAGCACAAAGTCACCTTTGGCTTTCATGAAGCCTGAAAGAGAAGCCTTTCTGTGCCAGAGATGGCTGAGATACAGCCAAGGCTTTGGGCCAAGCTCCCCATCTTGGAAAGACAAAGAGATCTGTTTGGTGTTGCAACCTGTTCCAGATCAAACAGCTCATCAGTGCTCTGAACTCCAGCTCCCACAAGTGGCAGCTTCCTTGACCTGAAGTAGGATGGGATTCAAAAGGAGTGTTGTGGTTTGGTTTTGGGGTTTTATTCTTCCTTGCTTTAGAAATTAGCTGGAGTGACCAGATCACCCTTGGTGACAGCTGTATGTTGTCTGCCAAGGGTAAATATCAGTCCAGCTGTTTTCAGCAAGTTTATTCCTGAGGCTGGGGAATAGGAAAGAAGTGGTTTCTAAGAACAAACCTAGATTCTGTTGTTGATGAGTAATTTGCAGGCAATGCATCCCCTGGTACTGGTTGGCATCCTGGCAGCTGTCCCAGATAGGCTGGTATCCATCTAAACTGGTGTCTCCTTCCTTCTTTGTCTACACCACACCAGTGTCATCATTTAGAAGCCTGTGTAAGCAATACATCATTGAAAGGAACACTAACCATTCTTCTTTTCCGCAGGGTTGGATTGACAACTTCAACGGGACCAGTGGAATATTTATTGCGGTACGTCTGGCTACTATTTAAGCTCCCCTTAAAGTGGAGTTTGAGTTACTAAAATAGAAATTCTGATGTTACTCTACAGCCCCACTTAGAAACTGTATGCAGTAAAGGGTCACAGGAATTTTCTGAGTCTGGAAGAAAGATGTCACCCACTTGCCACACATCCGTCAGCTGGTGGGGCCCAGAGGAAGGTCTTTTTGTGCTGAGCTCAAACAAGGACATTCATATTACTGGTTTGCTAAAGCGTGAATTGCAGTTCCCAAAAACTCTGAAAAAACTAAAGGTTTGGAACACAGTCGGCCAAATTTTCAAAGAAAAGGCAAAAGATGTATCCTTGAAATGAGGGTAATTCACAAGTGTCACAGTTTGAATCTTTTAACACAACTTTATTTTCCAGGCCAGGCCATTTCCTTGTATTGACCACACTGTCAATACAAGGTAGCAGTATTTATCATTCAGTTTGTCTCTGTGTGTATTGTTTCCAAATCTACTGCTTTAATTCATCATACTTCCATAATACCAAAGATTCTGGCTCCCACTTGCCACTGCTTTGTACAGGATTTCTTCCTCTACAGACTACGCCTAAATAATGTGTATGATTTATTTAGACTCTGCCAGTCACAAGGATAATTCACTATATTTTTTCCTAACTTGATAAAATATTCCCTGTAAGATGAAAATGATCATTACAATTAATATATGAAAGGAGTAAAGTTGCATGCCTTTTCTCCTGCCTTACAATTTTTTTTTTCTGAACTAAAATCACTGTCTTATGCCTCTCTGTCAATCCATAATGCTGTATAGCTCTGGGCAGATATTTATGTTCATATATGTCCAACTTCATTACTTTGTCAAAACTATGTTCTAATCAGCCTGGGGCAGTATATGAAAGGATTAGTGGTCTGCAATCATAGGAGAGCAGAATAAAATCCAAATATTATCTTGTTAAAAAAGTTCATTTATATCTGAAGTAGAATATAAATAGAAACTTCTAGTTTTGGAATGCACAGGACAAATAATGCTTTCATGCAAACCCCATTGATACATTTCAGAGGCATTCAATTTTTGTTCTCAAATTATTGACTTCTAATCATGTCAGTTTCTTTAAACAAAAAATTTTCTATTCCTTAGTGACAACTCAAGAAACTTGTACTGCCTCTCTGCTCTAGTCCCAGGATCTTGCACTGGTTTCTGGGTTCTTTTATGACATAATCAAGATCAAGGAATGCTTTGCAATTCCTTAATTTTGCAGATGGTCTTCTTACATTTTCATGTGTCAGGCTCTATCTTTTGTAATGACATGAATTTTATTTTGGACTTTTTTTGGTTTTAGTTTGTTTGGGTTTTTTTATCATAATTTTTGATGGTGTCTGTCACAACATTTATCCAGAACTGTTTTGCAAGAAACCTTGGGCCAGGTTTTGTATGCAGATGCAGCCTCTATCTTTAGATCCAAGATAGCTCCATGGAGAGCAAAGATTATGACATTCTAGGGTCACTGTGGGAAATGGCTTCTTTTTTAATATAAAAAGATTAGACTTGCACTGGGATTTGAAAAAGAGGTGGTATTTTTTGGTCCGGGTTTGAAGCTCTGAGGTTTTTCAGCATAGAAGAGATCATGAAATTTGTGTCATCTACACTGAGCTCTTGGGTGTTGGAATGTGGTCTGTAACTACAATGAGAGTTGACCAACAAAAAGACAAAAAAAAAATTACAAGGATGCAGGATGTAGAGACAAACTTGTTTGGAATGTTTTCCAAAAGGGAAAACATTCTATTTTACTATTACTATTTTACTTGCACTACATTCTATTTACTATTAGGGACCCAAGAGACTTTTTTCTTCTGTAGGGGGGGAATTAATAAGTACATGAATTAATGTTCTTGAATGTGGGGAGTTGTTTGAAAATGAACCCTTAAACATCGGAGTGATGCATCAGTTTGATTACCTGAAAGTTGTGTCAGTACAACCAGCTCTGCTGGTCAAATGTATTTTAAACTGTGATTATTAGATGAGTAGCTTTATTTGCTTTAATTAAGTGTTGAAAAAAGCAAAAGGGAAGTGGTTTTGGTGGTTTGGTTTTGTGCATTTGAAGTTTCCCTCCATACCAAAATACTCGCTTTCAACTTTTAACTAAGCTCATCCTATAGGGAGAACATCCCCCAGATTCAGATTTAGTTTAGATGATCTTTGATGTCATTTGGGCAGAATCTGGACTCCAAATCTTGCAAAGACTTTTTTCCTCAGTTTCAGTGTTTGAGTTTGATCATTTCATTCCATAAATAGACACATTTCTTTTAAATATTCGTGAAATATGGGAGTCCAAATTGTTCTTGATAATCTAATTATGTTTCTTTCGCCTACAGTTGTTCCAGCTGCTGTGGGGAGCTGTGTTTGTTGATTGAGGAACAAAATGAAATTAATTGCATTTCCACTAGAGTTTAATTAAGGCATTTTGTCTTACTGTTCCTTATTACATGCAAAGACCTTATTCCCTGCAAGGTAGTGAAGCTGTAGGGCACAACTGGTTTAATTTGTGATCTGGACAGTGACTGGCCCCAAAGCACCTCAGCTGAGAGGCTGTCCAGAAACATCAGACTCTGGCCAGGAAATTATTTTGGAGGCTTCACTTGGCAATAGCTTCTATTTCATTAAAGAGAAAAATGTCAGTATCTGTAAATAGAAACCAAACCATACCTGATGGAAGTATCACTGAACCATTTTTATGTAAAAAGTAACCTAAAAAAACTTAAACCTCAAGCCTTTGTTACGTGCAAAACATAGGAAATCTCGAAACCATTCATGTGTGTATGACCATCACATGCTGCTCTGAACACATTTTGCAGCAAATCCATCAAACATCCTCATCTGGAAGATCTCAGAAAGGTTTTCAGTGTGAAAATGTGGTAGTTAATCACACAGTAGTCTCTAGTGAGCATATGTTCATAGAAGTGGAAACTTCCAAGCTGAGCATGGTTGCCTCCTTTGTTTCCTTCTGTCTTTTTTTTCCCCTTGAAAAAACCCAGTAGTAAGAGCACAAAGAAAATCACAGTGATGTTGCATGTTGAAGCTTTAATGTCTGAGCCTAATCATAGTTCAGTTTAGGGCAGCAGAATTCAATGCATGACACAGGTTTGAGGAGAATGGAGTGAGCTGTGTAGGGAATCTTGCACTGTTTGTGTCAGAGTCTGTGATCCCTCTGACTGATGCACCAAGGATGAGATGGGACTGCTCAGAAGTCCTAGTTTAAAAAAAAAATTTAAAAAAATTAAATCAGTCAGAGGCATTATTCCCTTATTTGGAAGCTGTGAAATGCAACAAACACATCTGATTGTAGACCGGGAAAGGAGGTGGAGAACAGCCACCAAAAAGACCCCAAAAGATAAACACCTTTAAAAGAGGGGATACAGTGTCCCTTAAAATCCACCAATGAGCACTAGATAGTGGTATGTGCTTTGCAAGTTAATAGCAAGTCTGAAATGCTTTTTTAATGACTTTTTTTTTTCTCTTCAGACTTCAGGCAAGGGGTTTTCCACAACTAGGCACTTCCTGTTTAGTTGCTGTAGAAAAATTTAATCTATTTTATAATGAAATTTGAGTTTCAGATTGTATGAAAATAATTTAAGAAAAGCTATAACATTTCCTTTGCCCTATCTTTTAAATATTGATGGATCTGTAGCAAATGATCTTTTGCTCCTTCATTCAGTCCTTCCCTCTGCTTTTGCACAGATCTAAATTACAAGAGCTTTTATCCTTCCTTACTTCACCAGCACTTTTATCCTATCAGCTTTTTCCCTTGTTCCTCAGCCTCACTACATTGTTACCCATGCAAGAAAGAACTTGATTGCAGCCATGACTCTGCCACGTTGGGTTTCTTCTGTTATGTGTTCTGTTGAGCCCTCATCTGTGACGCACCAAGTAAAGTTCCTTCACCCCATTTCACTCCCACCTTCCTGTATTTTGCCTTGTCCTTTCTGATCCAGTCTGCCATGCTGTTGCCATACCTCTCCTGTGGAAGCTCCAAAGCCTCATTGGTCATCATGGAAACCCCCTGATAATTCAGGTTAAATGTACATATTTTGGGTAGCCTGATCCCCTGAAAAATGCACTTCCTACTGAAGCAAGGTGAAAATTTTTTTGTTCTTGCCTATTTCTTCTTTTTGGTTGTCAGTGCTTTGTATTTGCACTGATTCCTTTTACTGAGTTTTGGTGGGTGATGTGCTCTTCAAGGCAGGGGCCATCCTTTGTATCTTTGTGCTCAACAGACAGCTTTGGAAAAGAGGAGAGTGTGAATGCATCCAAAGGAAAGGTAGTCAACTTTTCAAAAGTCCTACAGGTGTCATTTCCAAAGTGACTGTAGTCTCTGAGGTATACTCAGACCTCTTTATGCCTGTGTAATTTAAGAAAATGTAACTTTCAGGCATGCACTTTGCAGCAGCAAATTCAGATAAATTTCTCTCCTTGGGTATTTTCTTTCATATTAAGTTAAATTAAAAGTCCTAGCTTTTCTCGTGGTACACAGCACAGACATCATCATGTTTCCAGGTGTCCTCTGGAAATGCAGGACAGCAGGACCCGTGGGAGATCCGTCTTTGTTGTCACAGAAACCAAATAATCTGCAACAGAAAAAACTTGCTACAGTGCTGGCCTGTGCCCAGTGCATGCTGCTGGAGTCCTGCCAGTTAAATCTCAGCCCAGCCTGAAATGGGTGACTGTTTCCCTGTCTCCCTGTCCCACAGGCAGGCAAAGGGATCCTGCGGACTGTCATCGCCAACAACGAAGCGGTGGCAGACATGATTCCCGTCGACGTCGCCATCAACCTGACTCTGGCAGCCGGGTGGTACACGGCCGTGCACAGGTGGGAGGGCATCCCTCTTTATAGCATTCCTCTTTGACAACACACCTGCAATATTTGCTCCCTACATCAGCACTTTAAAGGGAACCAGGAACTGATTAAAAATCAGTGCAAGAGGCTGGTTGATTGATTTTCTGGTTGGTGTTTTCTCCCCGTGGGTGGGCAAGGACTGAGAGCATAGGTGACGCAATAAAGGCGGGGTTTAGAGTTAGGCAGTCTCTACAACTATGGGGCAGACCTGTTTCTTGCCTCTCAGAAGTCACTCTTCGGAAGGCAAAGAGTTTTGCAGCAGTGATTTTTGGGCCTCCTTCTCATTGATTAGCTTCTCAAGTGTCTTCTGGAGTTTTCTTGGTAAAAAAAGCTCTGTTTTCCTTTGGAAACACTGCACAATGTAAATATATTATGGGCTTATAGGTTATGTGATCTAAAAAACTGTCCCTTCTTTGCATTGTTGAGAAGAGTATGTAGAAGTGATATTAAGGATTTAAGGTCCTTTCCTGTGAACCTTTGGCCTGGCCTTCAATCATTAGGTAGGGCTACAGAGAATAAACCACATGAATTATTCTGGAGGTTTATGCAACACTGAGAAATCAAACCCAGGCAAATAAAAGGCAGAAGTGTTTTACTTTGAAAGACAGAGGAAGCCCTCTGAACTAAGGGTAGAGCTACATCCAGGAAGCCAAATAAGGATCCTAAAAGGATCTTGAAGAGCAGCTCACCAGCTTTCCCCTCAAAGCATTATTAAGAAATCCACCAAATTAAAACTGTGCCGTTTTCAAGTATACAGTAAGAAAAATGCTGTATTGATTTCATCACTTGACACGCTTGGCAAGGCATGCTTAGATCAAGAAAACTGTTTGATTAATTCTTGATTTATTTTGAAGGAAGAAATAAAACAAATGTGATCCATGTTTAGTTCCACACCAAAAAATGCAAGCTTTGTTTGGTATTAAATTTACTTGAAATTGATTGTTTTTGTAATCCCATCCCTAAAAAACAGATTTGGTATTAAACTGGGAATTTACTTGAAATTGATTGTTTTTGTAATCCCATCCCTAAAAAATAGAGTTTCTTCACATCTCAAAATAATACTTCTTTCTGTTTTCCAGACCAAAAAACCTGTTGGTGTACAACTGCACAACAGGGGGAATCAACCCTTTCTTCTGGGGAGAAATGGGTAAGGTCTCATTTAAATGGAGAGCATCCATAGTGTTCCTTACACTTTGAAGAATTGGTTTCCACAATTTAGTGGCATTCGGTGTTTGCCATTCAAACTGCATTTTGGGTGAGGGTCCTGTGAGGTAAAGAAATGGGTAAGGTCTCATTTAAATGGAGAGCATCCATAGTGTTCCTTACACTTTGAAGAATTGGTTTCCACAATTTAGTGGCATTCGGTGTTTGCCATTCAAACTGCATTTTGGGTGAGTGTCCTGTGAGATAAAGGGTACTTCCAAACCAAACCATTCCAGGATTCTGTGATATTATGGAAGTGAACCATTCTAGGATTTTGTGATATTATGGTCTCTCTTGTCCATCAGAAAATTCTGAACAGAAATAAGAGGTGTGCACTTCAGGAGGAAAATGGTAAGATGACACGTGGGCTTCAAGAACAGTTTGTATTTTGATCATGAGTTTTGTGGGGGAAAAAAAATATATTTTCATGGCTGACTTTTCTTCAAGTGGATGTACTTCCAAGGCAGGGGTGAAAGAAAGGGAGACACATCCTGACATCCTTGAAGTGAAAAACTCATGCTGAAGCCAAGCAGCAGAATTTGTCTCAGCTGTGTACTGTGAAATACTGTGTACAGTTAGTTCATTCATGGACAGATGTACTGGGCCTGGTTTCCTTTCTGTTACCCCTGCATTCATCTCTTTGTGCTTTAAATACAGGAGGCTGGCTACGCCATCTCTCAGCCTTTGTTCTGCTTTTCCCCTTGGCTTATTTACATAAGCCAAGCGAATGAGACCATAACTGCATTTACAGAATAAATGTCTTAACCGTGATATTTGATCACGTGGCCTAGCAAGGAAGAGGTTTCAGCAATTGGCTGAGTGCTGAGGACACCACATGCAGCTCTTGGCTTTTTTTTGTTTTTGTTTTTTTGTTTTTTTTTTGTTTTGTTTTTCACCCACTAAGTCATTGCAGTAGGGTTAGTCAAGATCTTCCGTGGCTTTTTCACATGAATGAATGCAAAGCTCTTCACAGGCTGCTACTTCAGCAAAAGCCACCATAGCACCACTTTCTGAGGCTTGCTTTTGTTAACCCTTTTTCAATGGAAATTTACTGATGAAAAGAGCAATGTATTTAGTGCATTGTCATTTATTTTATTCTGTTGTTCTGCTTATAACTATGGGATTAGCCATGAAATCATCTGGGTGCAGCAGCAGCAGCAGCTTCTATAAGCAGCTGAGCTGTGTGGTGGAACTGAAGGCAAAATTTTCCCCTTGGGTGACACCGTGAAACTCTTTCTACACCATGTTGTAGCCACAGTTTTTCTGAGAGCAGCGTGCTGCAAAGAATGGAGTATTAAATTGCAAAATTTTGCCTTTAAAGATATTGCATGGCAGAAGAAATTAGTTTGGGAAAGATTTACTGCATCTCAATGTTATGACTGCAGGCATGCAGTCTGAATCCTTATTCAGACTCCTACCGATTTCTTTTTGGGAGATGCACATAATTCTGTTCAAGGAGTCAGGGTGTGTGACTGGTCATCAGGATAGAGAGTTCTGATTGTCTGGAAGCTGCTGAGAAACCAGGAAAGGGAATGGGAGTCACCTGGCCTCGGACTGAGCATTTTAGAGGGATGGGCCTGGGCTACCTGGTTAGGCCAGGTGACACCAGGACCTGCTGTAGGAGTGACAGATGTACACAAGGAAGTAGGGATTTTTCAAGGGGAGAAAGATCAAACAGAGAAATAGAGTCTGGATTAGGCTTAGGATACCTAGGGTTGGGAACTGAAGTGGTGGAGATGGTGATGCTTTGAGTACACTTTGAGTGATGAGCTGGGAGGGAGGGAGGAACACCCATTGCAAGGCAGTTCATTCTAAAGCTCCTCAGACACAGATAAAAACTCCTAGGGGGAGTGTTAAAAGGGACCTTAACTGATTGATTTCTTTTCCAAATAATGCTATGTCTTGGGGTTTTTCTTTTTCCTTACTTTCTGAATACTTTGCCTACTTTTACAAAGATGTTGTCAAACACCTAAATTTTTATCTGAATAAGCATATTCTGCTTTGCTGCAGTGTGAATCTGGTTTGTCTGACTTTGTGAAGTACATTTTGCAGTTTCTCCTCAAAACTAAACCGTAAAACAGGCTGGAGATTATGCTCAGTGTGGCAAAAATTAAGTTCTGTTTATTCTTGTTAGTCTACCTGGGTGAGACCTGTGTCCAGTTCTCCTCCTGCAGAACCTGCCTTTGAGTTGTAGGATTTGCTGCTGCATTTTTTTGTTGAGGTTGGAGGGGAAAGACCCCCCCCACCCACTAAGTCATTGCAGTAGCTCCTAGAGGTGACAAATTTCTACTTTGGGATTCTTAGCAGAAGTGCAGCAAAAGTCACTGCTTGAAGTGCAGTAATGAGCTGAGCACAGGCACTGGAGAGTCCTGTCTGAATGTTACATTTGGAATCTGCTCATCTGAGGATGATCTGGACGTTTCTTATGGCTTGCAAATTCTCATCTGATTTTCCATTTGTAACATAAGCTTAGAGACTAAATGATAATATGAGGACAGATTGATGTCGTTAACACTCAAATCAATTTTTTAGAAAGTGAAAAAACCCACAAATTCTTCTTTCTGGAGCTTGCTGGTGCTCAGGAGTAGGAGCACCATCTGTTTATCAGTCCCTAGGATGATAGTCTTACACTCAATTAGTGCAGTTCTATTAAGCCTCTGCAATATGCAAATATCCCAGATACGCACATCTAGATACCACTTTGTGGCACCGTGCCATTGCCAGAGCTCAGAATCAGACCCAGCATATTTTGTGCCTTAACATGCAGAGGGAAGGGAAGATTCCCACCCTGTCATTTGTTTTCGAGTTAAGAATGCAAGACAGTTTGCTGCCTTAGAGCATCCAGAGGTCTTCTGAAACCAGGCAGACATTTGGTGGTGTGGGTCAAATGTGGTTTGAAAGGATATAGTGAAGCATTTTTAAAGCTATCACCCTGTATAAGTGACAGACTAACTCAAACATCAGCCCATTGGAAAAATCTGACTGAAAATTAGAAATGTAATTTTTATTTTATGGTAGCAGATCAAAGTTTGCTTTCAGTGATCTAATGAAATGTAATTTTACAGCTGCTGCAGGTGAAAGGAGAACTGCAGTTCCGTGAAGCTTTAAGGCTGCTTGCTTTTCTTCTTTTATGTTTAGGTGCTTTGACAAGGAGGTATTTGTCAGCCAGTGTTAAGTGTGGAGCAGGATTGGGTTTCAAATAGGCAATAGATGGAGTCATCGATTTTCATAGCAGAAGGGACAACCTGGTCCAAGCTCTGATGACACAATTCAGAGCTGTGGGCTGGAGGTGTGAAGCACAACTTGGGCTCTGCTGCACTGTGCTTCCAGCCCAGCTGGAAGTGAGTGATTGCCTGTTAAAAATGCCTGTTCCCTTGCAGGGCAGTACGTCATGTCCACGTTCAAAAGGAACCCCCTGGAGCAGGCCTTCCGAACACCCAACGCTCACATGACCTCCAGCTACCTGATCAACCAGTACTGGATCACAGTCAGCCACAAGGCACCCGCCATCCTCTACGACCTGTACATGAGGCTCACGGGGAGAAAGCCCAGGTAAGGAATGGTGCCCTCAGCCTCCTGCACACCTGCCACTCCTGTGGAGAGCAGAGCTGGAACCAGTGATGAGAACTGGAGTCCTTCAGCTTCTTCCCGTCTCCTTCTCTTGAGGAAAATGAGGAAATGCGTAGCTGTAGTTAAGCACAGCCTAGGGTTCTCACCCTTCCCACCACCTGGAGAACAGCTCATCTTTTGAACTTGGTTTTACACACTTCAGAGGTTCCCAAGGTGGAAGGGCTGGTAGTCTTCTGTCTTCTCTATATCCAGATTCTCTACCACTCCAGCTTTCCAATGGGATCACCCCTATGTGGCGTGAGCTTGCATATGGACTTGAGTCTGGCAAGGTTGAGAACATACCAGCCAATACAGGTTTTTTCCCATAAATCAAATGCCTAAGTAGCTGTTTCCAGCACTGGTCTGAAATCTAGGAAGCAACTGTTTCTGAGTATGATTAAATTCTAATTATATTTAGGAGGGCAGTTCACCATTACAGTGAACTAATAGCACTGGCAGTGGTATGGCTTGGAGGAACAGCAATATCCATGTTCCATGTGGAAGGAATCCTCTTGTAAGTAATGTTACTCCAGACATTGTCCTCCTTTACTCCCTGACACCACAGAGGAGGACTTGTTGTGCACTGTGAGAACAGGCTGCCAGTGCTGTGTTGATGTCAGCTGCTCTGATTTATCACTGACATTCTGCTTTGGAGGCAGATTGGTCCGTAAAAAGACTTCCAGTTATCCAGGAGGAAAGAATTACCCTGGAAATAGAGGTAAACTGAAAATCAGGCTGGAATCTCCAATCTTTGTTGAAATGGGCAGTAGTAAGATCTTGGCACTGCCATTGCAATTGACATTTCTTTTCATTAAGCTGATTGGCATTATTAACCAGTGGACACTGCCTGCAAAAAATACTGTAGTTAAATGTTAAACAAAACTCAGCATGATCTTCTGAACTTTAAGATTTGCAGTCTCAGCAAAGATGGCTCACCAACGAAGCTGGGAATTTTCCAAGTCTTCCCTTTTTTTAATATAGTTCTCCTTATTTTTTTTAACACTACTTCAGCTCATCCAGGTATTGCTGCAATGTGGTAGGAAGAACAGTAGCAGCTCATAGTTTCTTCTTTTCCCAGATACCTGAATATCAGATCTTTATGGTCTAAGGACAGTAAACCACATGAAATTTTTAAAAAGAAACCTTTTTAGGTGTAATCTCATTTCACATAAATTTCCAGATATCAAGCAAAACTGCCCTAAGTGGTTTCCTGTGAGTGCTGCACATCTATCCATGACTTAGAACATAATGTGGTTTTATACCCCTAGTAGTCCCTTGGGGCAATCCCGTCTCACCTGAGGATCTCCTCATGCAAGGCTCTGTATGGGAGCAAATAAAGAAATAATTGCTGTAAAAAGTTTTCTAGAAGACAAAATGCATGTCTGAAGTGTGGCCACAGTGAGAGCTAATACTCAATTTATTCCTCTCAGTTCCTCCATAGTGGAATATGAGATTTCCTGTAAGAAATCTTTGCCGTGTTTCTACTCAGTTGATGTTTTGCAGAAGACCTTTCCTTCATAAAAATTATTAGTCAATGTTTTGAATGTGATCACATCAACTGATCTCAGACAGTTGACATGAAATGCAGTTTTCACACACACCTCTTCAGATCATAGACTCACAGACTGGTTTGGGTTAGAAGGAAGCTTTAATATCATCCATTTCCACCCCTGCCATGTGCAGGGACACCTTCCACTATCCCAGGTTGCTCTGAGCCCCATGCAACCTGGCCTTGAACAGTTCCAGGGATGGGGTAGCCACAGCTTCTCTCGGTAACCTGTGCCACCACCCTCACAGGGAAGATTTTTTCCCACATACTGAAGAGTTGGTTCTCTTATCCTTTCTTTTTTCTATCAGTTTCCATTAGTCCTAAGCACTTTAAACATTTTGGGGAGTCAGCTTGAGGGGCAGCTTCAGATCTTTCCAATCTATCTGCATTTCTTCTTCCCGAGTTCCTAAAATGTATTAAAATATTCACAAAGCTTTGCCCCATGATGCTCGCCCTACACAGGAGGATTATTCTGAAATAAATTCAAAGCAGTTCAGATAAACTGCATTCAGTCGATGTGCACATAATTATTCAGAATGAAGGTTCCTTTAATCCGATGGTCTGCTTTGCTTCTAAAATGAAAGCCACTTTAAGAAGGAGTGCCTAAGGTTTTAGTGCTCTTTCCAGTTGCTTTGGGTGAGCTGCACAGTTCTGCTCTAAACTGATGGACTCATTATGTCTTGCTGTGCTGTGCTGAGTGCTTATCACGGTGGCAGTCGCATCTGCGTGGGGAGAGGCCAGCCTCACACCATTCTCCCACAGACTGCCACGTTTTATTTGTCACAGCAACTGTGTTACCCCCTGGGAAGCTCAATATTTTCAATGAAAACAGCTCTGTTTTCCACAAAAATCAGCCTTTTAATGCTTTCTCTTGCCCTTACCCAGTCTGAGAGGACATGGTGTCCTCTCAGAATTGACCGAGCCTTCTACATCACACTTTAAAACAACTGCCAGAGGTCTTTTTCACTTATCACCACTGGGACAACTAAAGTAATCCTGCAGCGTAGGACAGCATTACCATCATCCACTTTTGTATAAAAAATTAGTAAGAAAAAGCCAAGACACATCAGAGGACCTAAACCTTCATTTCCCAAGTCCTTAAGCATTTATGCCTCTGAAGCAAGACAGTAGAGACGTGGAGCTGTTGGAGGGGGTCCAGAGGAGGGCCATAAAGATGGTCAGAGGGCTGGACCACCTCTCTTATGAGGACAAGTTGGGAGAGCCAGGACTGTTGAGGCTGGAGAAGAAAAGGCACATGGGAGACCTGGTAACAGTTTTTCAGTACTTTAAGCAGACCAGTAGAAAAAAAGGCGAGGCACTCTTATCATGGAGCGTAATCATAGGATAGGGGGAATGGTTTCAAACTTTAAAAAAAAGTACATTTAGATTGTATAGGAGGAAATTCTTCCCTGTGAAGGTGGTGAGGTCCTGGCACAGGATACTCGGAGAAGCTGTGGCTGCCCCATCCCTAGAACTGTTCCAGGCCAGGTTGGATGGGGCTTGGAGCAACCTGGGATAGTGGAAGGTGTCCCTGCCCGTGGCAGGGGTTGGAACAAGATGATCTTTAAGCTCCCTTCCAACCCAAACTACTCTGTGATTCTTTGGTTGTGTCTGAAATTTGAAGTTGAGCAAATGACTTCTGAGCTCAGGGTCCATACTGCAGATGTGGTCACCAAATACTGGAGCTACTGCCAAAAATCAGAGCCTTGCTTCAGTTCACAACTCAGGCTTGGGAGCACAAGAAAATTCCTGTGGCAGAAAGAGAAGTACCCACTTTGGGCACAGCAGTGCTGTACCTTTGTGGTACAGGCTTCATGCCAGCTCAGATGGGCTCTTCTGTCCACAGCGGTGGAACATGAGGTAGATGGAGCTTCCAGCCCTTGCTTAGGTCAGACCAGTGAGGTGGACATAGTGGCAATGATGTTGGCTCCCATGCTGGAGCCAACAATTAAAGCTGGGTAGCTCTAGGCTTTAGCTCAGCTGGAGCAGTTGGGACTTGCTGGGCAAGTTCTCAGCCTAGCGAGTAGCAGGGCAGTGCTCAGGAGGAATTGGAATGTTTATTCACCTGGATTGGTGGAAACACAAAGCAGCAGCTTCTACATAAGGTCAGATTTCCTGCTCACCTCTGATGCTTCCCCTTTGTTTCAGAATGATGAAGATTATCAATCGGCTGCACAAGTCTATGACACTCCTGCAGTATTTCTCCACCCAGTCCTGGAACTGGTCTTCAGATAATATGAATATGTTAATGAGTCACCTTAACACAGAGGACAGAAAGGTAATTATATCTTGAATATGGGTTGCTAATCTCAGATTCTGTTCATCTGCAGCAATTATTTTTGGTGTATTGTGGAGCATTTAAATGATATCTAGATGATTGTAATTTATTTTAATCTGAAATTATTTATTTCAGGAGCTTTCCATTTATCACAGGAGAATATTTTCAGGTCACTGACAACACAACCTATTCTATGAAAACTTCTTCCTCTTTACAAAGCCTTTCTTTGCTCCTAGAGACAGCTGCCCGAGGCTTGCTAACCATTTGTCCAGTATGAGCACCCAAATTGAACTGTGGTAGTTGGCTCTGCAACATGATTTTGTTTATGCCAAACACCAAAGTGATCCATTTCCTGGACTTCTGCTGATCTAGCTGCCAAAAGAGAGTGCAGCAGAGCTGAGAGTAACACCGATGCAGAGGCACCTGTTGACTCAATGTCCAGTTAATTTATTTACACATAATTTTTGTGAAATGTTAAAACTCTGTGGAGGTTTTCATTTGAATCTGTTTGCCTGTGTGGAATGCCGTTTTTCTTCCATGATTCTCTGTGTGTGTGTGTGCGTAAAAATATATGTATTTATGGAAAAGTTGCCACCTGAAAGATAGACACCTTTATTTTCTGCTAGCTAGTGCTACATTTCTGCTTGCTTTGCCCAGATTCCCAACTGGGTGGGACATTAACCAGCAGCTGTGAAACACAGTCTGCCAGTGCTTGGGAGCTTTGAGAATTTCAGAGAGAGGGCCTTGTCAGGAACAGAGATCAATGAAGAATTGATGCTTCAAATGAACTGGTTTTGAACTCTGGTGTTCAGCTTTCACTATTTGTCTTTAAATCCCAGTTATACAACTTTGATGTTCGCCAGCTGCACTGGTCAGAGTACATTGAGAGCTACTGCATAGGTGCTAAGAAGTACTTGCTAAATGAGGACATGGCTGGAATTCCAGCAGCAAAGCAGCATCTACGCAAGTAAGTCACACTCAGGGACAAAGAGAAGAGCTCCTGGCTAACTTCGGGGAAAATAAGTCTAGCTACAATGCAAAATTATTATGATAATAATGATAATGATAATGATAATTATGATGATGATAATAATAATAATAATAATAATAATAATATGACATAAATAACTTATTTCTTACCACAGCAGTTTGTCAGTATTTACAAACATAGAATAAGGGGATAGTTTGCCATAGCAAGGAATCCTAAACAAATTCATCGTTCATGTATCATTTTTAGGAAGTTTATAGGGACCTCAGGAATGGACTGCTGACTGCCTCAGACCATGGACTGTGGTGGAGTGATACAGTTTATCTTAAAAGGGCTCTTAAAAAAATGAAAAAAGTCTTGAGGTCTTTAGGTGTCTTTTTTCCCTTGGTCAAACACTGGGAAAATGAGAATTAGAGAACTGCAGAAGCTTTTGCTTGACAGAAAGAAAACAGGATCATTACAATATGAAAAATTCAGTAATACCACTGAAATTGATGATGTAAACTAATCCACTTCCCCAAAACATAAAATATCCCAGTGCTGCAGTATTGCAACAGTGAAGACCATTTATGATCATTGTATAATTTCACAACTCTAAAGATGGGGTTTCACCCAAATAAGAGAACCTTGCTTGTCAGCTCCTGTGAGGTTCTCGAGGCTGCCCCAAATCCTGCAAAGTGAGAGACAGCCAATATATAAAACCAAAGCAGAAAGTATTGGACACAGACTGTCCTGAAGAAAAACCTCTCCATATGACTTCACTCTGGTTTGAAATGAGTGAAGAAGAGTGAATTCCAGTACAGCTATTCCACCTACACCATGAACTATTCACTGTGCTCCAGCTTCAGCACAGTCCTTGGCAAGACCAAGGACTCCAGCACAGTGTCTCCACTAAAACAGGAATGGCAAAAAGCCCAAGGGTCACTTGTAAATAGGATTTATTCCTGAATTACCTGTAGGAAATGCAGGGGGCTGGTGAGCTTCTCGTTGTTTGTGTGTTTCTTGACAAGATGCCTCTTTCCCAGGCTGAGGAACATCCGATACGCGTTCAACACCACCCTCCTTGTGATCATCTGGCGCATCTTCATCGCGAGGTCGCAGATGGCTCGAAACATCTGGTACTTTGTGGTGAGCCTCTGCTACAAGTTCCTGTCCTACTTCAGGGCATCTAGCACCCTCAGGCACTGAAGCCATTCATCAGCAACCAGCCTCTTCCAGAAGGACCTCCATCTCCTCTAATCAGCAACTGTGGGCATCGGGGTTTGAAAGTAGCAGAAAAATCCACTCTCTCCAACAGCAGCTGGCACTTATTGTACACTGCTACATGCTCACCTTTTTAATTTTAACTAATGCTTTAATATATGGTCTTTTTTCCATAGGACCAGGCCAATTTTTAAAGCCATAACTGAAGCTTTAGGAACAGGTCAAGCTGGGACCTCTCATCTAAAGTCTGATGTGCAAGAGTAAGGATTAACCAAAGTCATTGTCTTCCCATGTACTACTCCTTAGGCTATCTTAATCCCATCTTTTTCCTCAAGAGAGGCAAATTTAAAGCACGATCTTGGAAGATGAGAATGCCACCAGAGGAGACCCAGCTGAGGAAATTAACCTGTAAGAGGTCTTCCTAAAGCAGCTGTTCATTCATTCTCATTCAGTGAAATGGTACCTTACTGAAAAAACAAGACTACATGTTCTCAGTTTTTCAAAACTTAGGAGGGGGAAACATCAGTCATATGAGGCCAGTGAACACACAGACCAGTTTTCAGATCTTGTCTTGTATTGTTGCTGAGGACTGATGCTTTCAAGCCATACCTGAAGACACACATAGAATTCATGTACCTGTGTTAACTCTGCTCACTCACAAGCTGCTTTCTTACAGAGAGGTCGTCTTTTCTCCCTGTGGTTAAGGTTTCAGTCTGTTAAAAAATTCCTGGTCTTGCATTTATCACATTTGCTTGGGACCTTTTGGGGGTCTTGAAAAATGCTGTATTAACCCTGAGAATGAAGAGAAGACTTCATAAAATTCAGAAGAAAAATACAGAAACGTGTCATTATTTTTGAAGTATGGGTCTTTTCTTCCCCTGCAGGAAATCTCTCCCTGTCGCTCAAAACCAGCCAGATACTGGGCTTTCATTATAGCTAAATCATTTTGCAGTTGATTATTTCCAGTGGCAAAGAAAGTGTAAAGACACACATGGAGGAAACATCATTGGGCCTGTTCTACTGCCATTCCTGTCAGGAGGCATTAAAAAGTCTGAAACTTGTTTTTCTTGAGAATAGGTTAAATGTTGGATTTAATGATCTTAAAGGTCTTTTCTGACCTAAGCAGCTCTGTGATTCTTTGACTTCTCTGTAAGAACAGTCATGCAGCTGTGAAGGTAACACACTTTGTCCTGCAGTTTAGAATTTTCAGAATTTGATTTTTCAGAGTTTTAGAATTCAATTGCAGTTTAGAAAGGAAGCCAAGGACCTTCCCAATGCTCATGGCTGTTGGAGATCCTTGTTTCTTGTAGTGAATTATAAATTCCCGTGGGGCCAGAGAGAGAGAGCATTCTTGAAAGTAGCTGGTGTAACAGCAGCAACAAATTTACTGCACTGTCAGATTTTCAGAGTCAAATCTTACAATGAAATATTATTTATTCAGATAACACTGAATAAGCACTTCTAAGATGATCAGTCTTCAATGCAGCACCCAGTTTCTCTAATCTTGTGTCATGCCAGCTGTCTGAAAAAGTAATGCTACACAAAAAACACAACAAAGTGACACAGTTGCTCTTTTGTGAGCTGAGAAGAGCAGAGAATTTGCAAACCGGCATTCCTGAAAAATTATACTTGGTTTTGGTAATGAAGGTAAGAGCAGATTTTGACAGTGCATTTATATCTGAGCCCTTCAAGCTAGTTCAGAAATCTTTCTAGAGGTTCAAGGAATGAATCTTGCCCTGTATGCCCCAGATGTCTGATTCCAAGCGATTGCCTACGGGTGCCTGCAGCAAAACCTGACCAGAAGTGTGCTGTCCAGTATGGCAGGGCTCTGGCATTGCCTGCCACAGACCTCTGTATTTGTCACACACTGCTTTTGATCTGTGCTTAAATAGGTCAAGCACCCAGTTTACAAAGATGCAAATTTCTGAAGCCCTTGCCTTGGAAATGTGCTTCCTGTAGTGAAACTGGTTGTTGTGCTTGTGTTTTCCAGCTTCAGGGCAATGCTGTGCAAGGTGTCACCACCTGGGAAACCTGAAACTGTGCATTCAGGGGCTGGGGACCAACGTTCCCTGTCCAGTGCTGCCACAGCAATATTTTGGGGAAGGTTGTGGCATTGTAGTTTGCTACCTTGGTGGGGCTGAGGCAGGTTGCTGCAGGGATTCCTCCAGGAAGAGTGCATTCCCTCAGTTACATCATTTGGTCATCAGGCAGCTTGCAGTCCTCATAGGAAAGGCTAAAACACAAAGCAAACCAAAACTGTAGATCACTTTGAAACAAACTTCCACTCAAACATCAGGAAATCATTTCAAAACTTATCCTGAAAGTCTGTTTAAGTGCCTGCCTTATGGACAAGCAGAAGCAACACTAAAGGGGATCATAAGTCTTGGGCTGTGCTTGTGATAGACAAAAGCTTGGGTCTCAGAAAAGTCAAAGGTGCAGAGCTGCTACAACACCAGTCAGCTCTCCTGAGAGTAAAGTGCCCCACCTTTTCTTCCCCTCCCCTACTCATGCCAGGAATTCCTCACAATATGCCGGTAGGCATTCACAGTTGTGTGCACAGGCTGTATTGTCCCCACAAGCCTGAAGTGTATTTTTTGCTCCCCTGAGCATATCCAGACCTGGTTTTCTGAACACACAAAAAGGTGCTGCATTCAAAACAGTGGTGGTGTGTCATTTTAAGGCTCTTCAGCATTTTGCTGAAGGAAACAGCTGCAGAAAAGCTACTCAGCCCCAAAAAAACAGCAAGAGTTGTTTGGGTTGGGAAAACAGAGCTGCTGCAGATGGTGTCTGCTCTTCTGGAGACCTTTCGTAGCCCACACAGCATTGCCAGCAGCTGGCTCCAGAGCTCTGGCCGTGCCTGGGGTGGATCAAGCTGTTAGCTTGTTTTAACACACATGTAACATCAAGGGGAACTTGAATCTTTAATCAATTTTCTTGTGGCCTGAGATGTTTCCAGCTGATTGTCTGAAGCACGGACACATTTCAGAAAGCCTCGGTGCAGGAGCTGATGTGTGGCAGTGGCCCTTGAGTGCCAGTTGTGACTGTCATCGTGGGGAGCTGGGCATAAGAACTTGTTTTTGCCTCAAGCTGTGGCTGATGTTAAATGGTTTACTTTGTGCTTCTCAGTGGATTTGTTTGTGCTCTGAAGAAACCCAAGCCTTGGGGAAGATAATCTGAAAGAAAACACTGAATATCATTTCACCATCAGCAATAGGCAGAAGCTTGCAATTAACAAGTATCTTTTTTTAATTAAATGGTGATAACAAAACAAACAAACCACAACAAATCCCTACAATTAATCCGTGTTTTAACTGCTTTTGAACAACAACCAAAGCTGTTTATCATCAGCATGTTCCTAAAAAAATTTAATTTCTTACCCCTCCACCCTCCTCTGTTCCATGTTAAGAAAAAAAATTTCCACAGTAGGGAGGGAGAGGTAACAGACCCACTGATAAATCACAGGTTGTTGGCCCATTACCCACCTCCTACAGAAATGTGTTCTTTTACATTTTCTAAGGAAACATGAGTAGATCTGCCTCTGCGTACAGCTGCATCTTCCAGCACCAGACAGTAACCAGACAACATGGTAAAAGCAGTGGAGCTTATCCTGCAGTGCGAGGCTGTGCTTGTTTGGAGTGCCCTGTTCCACTTCAGTTTACCACAAAGCAATTAAAACATACCCTCGTTTCCAGTGTAAAAGGAACATAACCTGTAGCTGTTAATCGAGTCTTTATAATAAGCAACTGGGAAAAGAGGGAGGGGGGCATCCTTTTATTTGTAAATAAGCTACAGCTTCATGGTTGAAAGCATGCTGTTGCTCTTCCAGCATTGACTACCGCTGAAAGCAAGGATGAACTTTCAGTACAACTTTAGTACAGTGGGACCCCTTATTCTAGCACAGAGCAAATAACATTCCCCAGAAGGTAAATGGTGAACATCCCATTACATGGTGCTAAATATTGGTATGAAGGTGGTACAGATTTACTTAAAGAGAATTAAAATCCAGAAAATAAAGTGTATTTGGGGAATAAAGATGTACTGTCCCACTTTTCTCCATTGCTTAAAAGCCAATTATGAATTGTTTTTTCAGATGAATATGAAGCCACTTAGAAAAGGTTTCTTGTCCTTACACGATCTTGGCAGACCCCAGTTTATAGTAAAATATGTACTCTCCCACTGCCCAGAGTTTCTACGGTTCTATCTGCTATTTCTATCCTCTTGTTAGCTATGAGACAACTTCCTGTTACAAATCTTAATTACAGAGTTTCTAATGTTAAGGCGTAACCTTTTGAGCTCTCAAATCAGATAAAATTGTCAAACCACAAATTGCGTGAACCTCAGCCATAAAATTGTTAATATGATGTTTATGTTATTTGAAACATTTAATAAAACAAAATATTTTAATGCTATGGTCATTTTGCATTGCTTGCTTTGCTAGAGGAGGTGGTTACTTGCTGGCCATCGCAGTTGAGCAGAGGCTGCTTCTCCAGCACATCTGCCCACATCTGCAGCACAGCTGTCGTTAGAATGGCAGCCTACAGGAGGGAAACACAGATTTTAAAGGCTGCAATAGTGAGACTTTTAACCCCAATACAGAAGACTGAAAGGTCCTGCCGTGATGAGTGTCTGCAGCAAAGGAAAATTGGGAGTAACCCAGCCAACTTCCCCGAACAACATCCCATTTGTACCTGAGTATATTACCCCACATTTTTAGTTTAAGTATAGAGACCTCACCTCATAATGTTAGTTTTCTGTCAATTCTGTCAAGCAAGAGTCTAGTAATTATCTCTCACTTCCTTGCAATATAGTAGACTTCAATGAGTGGAAAAGACACAGCATTATCATGACCCTGTGCTTAATGAAAATTATTTCCAATTCTGAAACCCAGGGCATACATCAAAGATACCACTTTCATTTTGTTAGCAAGTCTTTCCTTAAAATACCATTTTCCATTTTTTATATGTAAATGTGATCTTTATGGAGAAAAAAAAAAATCAATTTTCCATTAAGATGCATCAATGAATTAAAGTCATCAGCAAGAAAGTTCGACCTCTTTTCAAGGAACAGATTTGAAGGTCAACCTGAAGTCTTCAATATTTAAAGCTTTTCTTCTGACATTCTAATTGCCCAGTATTATTATCAAGGCAAATAATAAATAAGTGAGGAAAATGGCATTAATTTTCATATTTTAAGGGAAGCAAAAATAGGGGGAGAGGAAAATGACGTAAAGTGGGCTAAATCCTTAGATGATAACACCACAGGTCACACAGAATAAACACCAGGTCTCAAGGGAAGGCATCCCAGACAATTTTCAATTTTCCCCATTTCCCTCAGTTAAGGACAACTGGTGTTCATTAAGAACTGAGCCCACAGATCCCAGTTCCTAACTCCCAGGATTACTGGCTGTGAAATGTGCTGTGGATAAATTGGATTTCTGGACTCATGCCCTACCTATGGAATGGATACCACAGCAGAGGAAGTTGAATTAATCAGAGCACATCCAGAGCCAGGAAAGGGCCACATACTCATCTACTTCTCTTGCCACAGGTGCTTTGATAATACAAATTCCTGCAGTTGCCTCTACTGCAGTCTCAGAGGTGGCTTGCTCCTTCCAGGGAAGCAGCAGGTAACACCCAGTCCCAGATAAAAAAGCCACAGCAAAGAAATGCATCTTCTGTAAAAGAAGATTAGGCAAGAGGGGATCAAGACAATAGCTCTGGAGCTGCCAATGTGATCCATCTTTTCCCAGTTTTCCCTGAACAAGGTATGGAGAGAGCTTTCAGAAGGCTTTCAAAGAGGAATTCCCACCTCAGCTTGTACCCTACAAGCACAAAAAAATCTGTATTTTTGATTCAGTTCTCACTGCACGCTCCTCCTCTCCAAGTGGGATTCACAACCACTCCAGAGAATACAAACCCTTGAGAACCACTGGCTTAATGAAACATCATTCATTGCATTAAACCTATATAAACTGGCCAGAGAAATCAGGGCTGGTAAAAATGCCAGCAAAAAAGTTTGAAGAAAGAGGTTGTAAGTGTATTTGGATCAGTAAATGGGCAAGATGTGAGGCACACAAAGACTGATATTTTGCTACTGATAACACAGGTCCTTTGCCACTGTCATTTGTCACCAAGTATTTGCTGTGCAAGACACTGAAGAGCCCCCAAAATTCCCCAAAATGCAGTGCCTCTGGCAGTTAGGTTTTGACCAGAAAGTAATGGGTTTATAGCATGGCACAATCTTGCAGAGAGAGGCAGGTGGATTTAAATGTATCTTTCTCTTTGCCTCAGGCTTTTAAAAATGGAGGCACTGTGGAACTTGAGGAATGAATGAAAAATTTAAAACCACAGACAGTAAAAACACAATGGTAATTGCAGAGTAATAAATAAAACTGGCTGCTTGAAAGTGTAAACAGCACTGAGCTCTTCAACAGTAACTGTGTTTATGCAACACTGAGTTTAAGGGAGAATTGTGTCCTCTCTTCACAATCCATGATTATTGATAATTTTAGCACATTTTGTTACTCCCCCCCCAAGCTGAGGCTGATGTGACAATTGGTCTGGGGAAAGAGAAATGTCAACTGCCCATGGGAAATTTGCTACCACTTAGCACCTCTGGGAAAGCTTTATTGATAAATAAAGGACTGCCAGGAAGGATATGCCAAAAAATAAACTAAGATTGAGTCAGCAAGGGCAAATTCAGCAGTGAGCAGACTAAGGAGGAAAATTAGCTTGAAAAGCCAAGTGAGGCACAAGTTTGGCACTCTGCAGTCAAAGCTGGGAGAGAGGATGTGAGTTTAAGCATCTGATAGATGACAGGCCTAGTGGTGGGATAGTAAAAGCAACACTTACATTATTTTATTAATTCTTTAATTTTTGGCATTAGGATGAGATTTTCTCATCCAGGGAAAGAAATTAAATTGTTTTCCTAGTCTCCATTTTCATGATTACTGACAATAAAGAATGTGAAAGCAAGCAAAGGAATTAGCTAGAATTTAATATGCAGTAAATTCCAACTAGCTTCTATTAGTATTTCTTCTAATTAAGATATTGTTTAGCCTTAGAAAGCAGAAAATCAGTCAATGAGCAATACAAAATGGTAAATATATTTTGGTATATAAAGCAAGAATTTATCTGCTGGGAAGTTTTTGTTTACAGCTTGGTCTATTACAGCATTTGGCATTTTATTTGGAAGTGCTGTGTCCTGTGATGAATATGGATTTGAAACATTGATAAGTTTTGCTTATATCCTTGGATGTCTTTTCCAACATCAGCGATCCTGTGATAAGAAGGATTTTACCTTATCAGAGGTGAGACAAAATACTGAGAGAAAAGATCCCAGGCAACATCTACTACCCCAGGGCACAAAAAGCAAATAAAAATCCTGTTCCTCCCTTCTGCTGAAGAGATGGTGACAACTGGATACCCACCACAAAAGAAAGGACTGTATTTCCAGAAATCAGGTGTCTGCAGCCTCAGAGAACCAACAGTAAGATCCCAGGGCAGGTAAATCCCCTGAACAGCTTGTGGGAAGATGGGATCTTAAATGTTCTTTAAGGAGCTGCTAAAGAATGTACTGTCTCTAACTAGAGAAAGGAAAAAAAAAGGTTAAGAGAGTAAATCTGACAAGCCACAAATTTCCTTACTGGTCAGAAATCATGAACAGGAAAGGCACAGGAGGTGACAAGAAGGTCAGATTACATAAAATAATGTATTTACAAATAAATAAATAAAACACAGACAAACAAATAACTTGAACACAGAACAGTCCAAAAACATTCTGTAAGGTTATTGACTGGAAGACAACAGAAAAAAAAAAATAAATCTGTGTCTTTGTAGAAAAATTAGCATAATTTATGTAATAAACATAAGATCAGCACCAAAAGGGTAAGAAGTCAGAGCAGACAGAGAGGAGGTTACAGAGTACTTAATTTAGATTTTTTACTGTCACCTATAGGCTGGAGCAAACTGAGGTAGGCTGGTATATATCCTGGAGAGCTCAGGAAAGATGGACAAGATTGCAGAAGACAAAGGAAATACAAGAGGACAAGAATGTGGGAACTATTTTTAGTGAGACTGACTTCAGTACAAGAACAATACTCAGCAGTCACTCAGCAGTTAAAAAGAAAAAGAATAATAGTGTGGAATTCCAAAGGCAAATTATGTCACATCAAATTTTCTCTTACAATAGAGTGAGAGGCATTGTTAAAAGCAGAGGAGTTGGAGATGGCATACAGTCTGCGCTTTAAGAGGTTTTTATCTCACATGATCATTCTCACGAATAAGCTGAGGCAAGAACACTTAATTTGCAAAATTAATGCAAAATTAATGGAAAACCTGACAGAAAATCACAATACGTTTTTGCATTTCATTGTTAGCCTGGGAAATTATATTATGTGTAACCCCAGATGAGAGGATTCAACAGATTCATTAAGGATCTGAATGCAGGCATAGAGAGTAGGCTCTTTAAAACCTTGGCATCAAGGTGGGCAGGCTGTGAACAATGCAGGGGACAGGGCTAGTTAGAACTCAGAACATTCCTGTTAAATTGAAACCCAAGGCTCCTACTTAAGTTAGTGAAAATGATGTCTTTCAAATTAAAAATACTTGCACGGACATCTAACATGGACTTGTCTAATCTGAGATACAGTCTTGAAAGAATTTTATATAAATTATTATTATTAGTTTCCCAAATGCAAGAATTTTAAATTATAAAATTATAAAATGCCATATCTATGTGTTCTAACCTATCATGTATTATAACAGACTCTTTTATTACTAACACACTATTTTTGCATGAAGACCCACTGCTTTCTTTAGTGAACTTGAGGCATGAGTGAGAAAACTCTTCACAATCTTTTTTGCACCTCTGTCACCTGGTGATCTTACAATCTATCATGCCACACAGTTCAAACTCTGCTGGGCCAAGAAAATAGTTAATTTCTTAATTCATTTTTCTATGACAGTCACTTTGGTGTCTATAGGCTAGATTCATTTAGATAGTGGGAACAGTATTCTTTCACCAGCTTCCAATATGCTGAAGTCAGTTAATCCAGGCTTCCATTTTTCCCTGCAGGGAAGAACAGACCTTGCTGGAATGTGATTTGTTAGGATGCTGCATAAAGGCCTATTGACAACCAACAGCATCTAATGCAACAAGCTCATTCACATCTATATCATAGACTCTGAAGGCAAGGGAGAATAATCCTGTTTATTGCAAAATACTGGCTGTACTGTGATTGGGATACCTCTATCCTCCAAAGCACACAACTGCAGAAAGGGGAAAGCTCAACCTGCTCAATGAGCAGCACCTGAAACTGCCATAAAACAAGGTCACAAATCACAGAATATCCTGAGTTGGGAGGGACCTGCAAGGATCATGGAATCCAGCTCTTCCCAAATCAAAATTA